CCAAACTACTGTAAGCTTCCCTCCAATACCCCACTATAGCTACCGAGCTGCGACTAACATTGCGCCTAAAGACAAGATCCTTGAGATCTCGGAGGCGGCTACGACCCAGCAAGTTCGCGATGCATACAAGAAGTAAGTGATCAAGATACTGAGTCCAAGTTCCCTCGAACTGACCTTTACTTTCCAGAGCCGCCTTGAAGACACACCCAGACAGGGTCCCCGCCGACTCACCCGAGCGAGCAACGCGCACTCGCAAGTTCCAGCTCGTCAACGACGCATACTACACCTTGTCCGACACGCAAAGACGCCGAGAATACGACGCCCAGCGAAAGATCTTTGGCGCATCCGCCGGTACAACATACGGCGACTTTTCCGACGACGACTCCGACCCAGAGGAAGTACCCCCGCAGGCCGGCCCCAACCCGCAAAATGCCTACTCGTGGGCATGGAACTTCTTCACAGGCGGGAAGCAGGGTCAACAGAACGAGGGTCAGCGCGCGCAGGCCGACAACGCACAGTTCGGCGATGTATTCGAGGAGATGTTGCGCGAGGAGGGCATGGCCGAGGAGGGTACCAACCGCCCGACGAGCTCGTTCTGGAGCATGGTAGGCGGTCTTAGTGGTGGCGCGCTGGGCTTCATCGTCGGAAACATGCCTGGCGCGCTGGCGGGTGCTGTCGCTGGAAACAGGCTTGGCTCTGTTCGAGATGCGAAGGGCAAGAGTGTCTATGCCGTTTTCCAGGTCAGTGCGAATCTGGAGATATCTACCGGGTAGATCCCGTCAGCCTCTCTATCCAGATTGTCTTGCAAGGGGGATTTGTACTAACATGATGCAGGACCTCCCTCGGGCAGATCGCGCGAGGCTGCTTACCCAGTTGGCTGCCAAGGTGTTCAGCCATACTGTAGGAGCTTAGGGGATTTTGGGATTTCAGATAGGTTCAGGATGATATCACATGGGCAGCTCGGAGTTTTGGGTTCGGTCAAGATCGGTATGAATAGGTAGCTTCACCAAGCCAACTTGGCACTTTGGCATCAATACACTAGATAGCTTTTATCCCTTCAAAAGTGTTGCCTGTCGTTATAAGTGTGACGCATTTGTATAACATAGCTCGACGAACCTTTCATCCATTTGAATCAACATGATCCACGATCGGAGGGACACTACCGTAACAGACACCTTGGCAATCACTGACTAGCATCTCACCAATTCCACCGTCAGTCACAACTCCACCGGTCTACACGAGCCATTGTCTACGCAGTAGATGGTGTCCGCGGCTCCGCAGCTGTGGATGTGCGTAGCGGGGTGAAGCGGGGTGATGGTGCATTATAACCAGATCCCCGCTTCTGGTCCTCAGCAATCAGTCACTAGTCAAGGTGCCAGAGTGGTTAATGGGCTGCCCTGCTATCATACCTTGATTCCAGATTAGGCAGTGGCTTCGGTCGCGCAGGTTCGAATCCTGTCCTTGACGCACCAAACCTTTTGTCAATTTAACTTCTTCTTGCGGCGCTTGAGCTCACGTAACATGTTTTGACCTCTTTCGTGGATATTCGGGGAAATAGTGTACACCAGGCAAATAATCTTCGGTACTGCATTGGCCTCCCGGATGCCCTAGCGGCAGTGTCCCGGGGCCGGCCCGTCCTCTACCCCACATCCTCCGAAAGACGTCACGGTCCGGATATCACCTCCAGTCGGTCCTAATGGCATACGTTATGTATTTGTTACTTACGGCTGACAGCTATTCTGAACTTCAAACACTCCCCCTGCGCTGCACTCGGATACGTTCTGGTGTCTTCTTTTCATTCAGAAGAGGGGTCATCATCTGCGAGAGCCCATCGCTGATAGGCGCCACGGGTTTTGCACTCAAGAGATGCTGAGAGGGCTTTGTGTACTGCGCATCAACCTCGTCGTCCCAGTTTTCCTGAATCGGCGCTTTGTGGTGATATTCCGATGATGTCACTACTTTCTGAATGAAAATCGGTTTTGTGGTCGTCCATGATTGCTGACCCGAACCCACGAGCTTCACCATCATCAAGACCCAGTTGAAGAGGGCCAGTGCCACGACTTCAGACACCTTTAACATGTGCTGAGCAGTTACTCGGCCCACAGATTGGACAGACTTGCCCGAGATGCTGTGGTCGCTGTTGTCATTGACGAGCGTCTCGTCGCCCGTGGAAAACTCGCTTCCATTCTCTACCGGCGATGATTGACGCTCGATCGCTACCGTAGCAGGCTGGTGGAGATATTGCAACAAGACATCCACCCCGGAGTCTGCCACCTCCTCGATCTCGTCGAAAGAGACTTCCTTCGGAGGAGATTCCTCTTCAAAGGTGGCCGGCATAGGCCGTGGCATCTCTACCGGGGTATCATCATGGTTCTCCTTCTGCATTGCCATATTTATACCGTGTGCGATGCCGTCGAGCCGTTTCTTGAAGGTCGATGTTGCCAATGATAGATCAATTTCGGTTGTCATTGAGTTATCGGTGTCGCCTGACTTCGAGCAGAAGCGCAAAAACCTATGTTTAGTTTGCCGCGCCATGCTTTTGAGACGACCCTCCACTTCGACGCACATGATGATCGGTCTATCGCTGTGTTCGAACGCAAAGGCGGTGTGGAAGTTGTGTTTTCGAAATGGGTTGCTGTCTATTTCGCTTTCGTTGAGCTCCCATTCGAGGGACCGGAATCCTTCTCCGCCCTTTGCTCGTTTTACCGTTCCCTTGAAGGTCCAGCTGTCAACAAGCTCTCTCATCTTGCTCTGACGAACTCCCATCCTCCCCAATTCAAAGAAGCCTCCAGCTCCAACCGTGGGTTCGAAAGCCTTCGCTTTGATCTCCGAAGTGACAATTCTCGGGCCTGTGAGAGACTGAGGTCCAAAGAAATCTGTCATTTGAACTGCGTAGTCTGACTCCAATGAAGTTCGAACGTGTCTCTGCGACCGTCCACTAATCCCGGGAACGAACCCAAGTGTGTCTGTTTGCGTCAAAGTGACAAGGACAGTGGCATTGCTCAGGATGTGTCCTGGCGGCTGCTTGATTGCGATGTCGATGTAGACTATACCGGCAGGATGTCTGCTAGGGCCAAGTACACCCCATTGCGCCTTCCTCCACAGGTATTTGCATTCGACCTGGACTTTTCCGATAGTGCCAGATCCAATGCATAAGTGAGACCCACGAGCTGCCTCCTGATTAAAGCGTTCGAAATCTTGTCTGCCAAATCGGCGGACACGTAGCCCGGGACGAAACGAGTGCGGACTTCTGTTTGCTACATGTTCAATCGCTGTATCGGCCATGGTCGAAGTGTCGTTGTGTGTCATGACATATGAATTCGAATTGAGAGTTTGTTGTTTTTGGAAAGTCTGGCAAGGCTCTGACAACGTCAGAAGGACTGACCGGGCAAGAGACCAAAATTGAGGGGGGGCTCACTGCTGCGCATGCACGACGCTGCAGCTTACATTGCACGCATACCGACTGCGCCTATCATGGAGCAGAAACAACGCCGAGTTATCTTCTAATTTATCAGTCAACTGAGGGGTAGCAAGTTCAGGTACTTCAATGCGCTGTTATTGGCCCTTTCTGTCTTCTAAGGGTGGCTGGACCGTTGGCTTCAGTATTGGTCATGCATACTCAAGGCGTGGGCTAATACCGCACACGCCGACCTTCTTCCCCATTCTGTTGTGACGACTTTCCCTCGAAACACCATTGCCTCTCGTGATGAAAGAAGCCTCTGTACCCATGGCCATACCTCTCAAAGTATAGTGAGTGTCCAACTTCGAGAGACCAGAATTAACAAGGTCGCAAAAACCCAAAGCCTCCAGACAAAATTCCAAACAATTCCCCAGCATCATGGACTCTTCCAAGTCGCAAGCGAGTAGAGCTTCCCATCATACCTTCTTGAGCGGAGCCACGCTTTACGACCACGAAGAAGAAGACGAAGAGACGTACAGTCCGCGAAAAACGTCATTGTATCTCCAGAGACAAAGAGAAGCGCTAGCCGCTCGTGCCGCTCAAAATACCAATTCACACATAAGAAAACTGGCTTGGAATATTCCGAGCAGGAAACCATCATCACCACTGCGCCATTCGATAACGGACGATGGCCGAACCTGGAAGGTTTACGAGCGGCGAACCGCCGATGATCAACCCAACAGGTACATACTGCCTGGACGTGAAAGCGATACACATCAAGAACCACCCAAGCAGCTCAAAGGCGGTGGGAATTCACCCCAAAAACCAAAGAGCTCAGGTTATGTTGCTTTTGTTGAAGATTACGACGAATCTGCCGAGTCTTCAGATGATGAGACGCAATCGGAATCCTCCCTGGGTAGTCTTCACCCGAGCGATGCGGCTTCTGCACAATTGCCGTTGGCCCCCATACCGAAGCCGGCACTCCCAGTACCTCCACCGCCTCCGTCAACCATCGAACCCAGTAGAGTCCCCGCCTTGACCAGACCCAGTCGAATGATCCATGTTCTGATTGATCCTCGGTCTCCTCAAGACATCACAATTCACTCAGAGCACAATGCTACTGACGATCTGGAAGAAGACTTGGAACAATACGCAAGACTTGTGAGGTTGGGGCGATTCAAGGCTGCTCGGAGACACTTTGAACATCGTCTGTCACATTTCAGGGACAACCCGTACGTGTTGGACCAATACTGTGCAGGTCTTTTGGCAATGTGGGATTGCCATGCACTTTCCCAAGTTGAGCAGAACTTTGCATGGGGACTTTTCCCTGGAGCCCTCCGAACGAATATTGATCTGCGCTTGAGTCTAGCTGGTAGGGCCTGTGGGAATATCTTATCTCAAAAGAAAGAACCAGAGAGGTTGAACGTACTTGACATTATGCAGATAGTATGGAAACATTGGCCTAAGCTAGACTCAACGGAAGTAAGTAGACGCGAGCATGAGCCACTGAGATCAACACACTGCTAACTTGATTAAGCTCACTCTCGCAATTTCTGCGCTGTATATAAATGGCGATCCTAAGATTTATTCCCATGTTGCACTGGCTGGAGTATACCGGCATCTAAAAGGCGAGGGCAGGATTTGGGATTTCGGAGACCTGCTGGAAAGCCTCCTAAGGCTCCACCGCACTTGCGTTTGCCGGACTCTTGGAAGTCTACTGGCAGACAATTGTGATGGCACCGATGCGAGTCTAGCTAGAATGGTCGAAAAAGTCGAAGACGACTGGGGAACGACAACGCCGGACGAAGAATCGTCATTTGCTTTACTGGAAATCTTCACGACGTTAACCCTAGCCTCTATGGGTGTGCATACGAATCCTGACATGGTCAAAACAATTTTTGAATTTTCCCAGAGTCATGCCCTAGAGGTTGTGGGGATGCAATCAACAAATACGAAATCTCGACCATATCTTCGTTGGATCATAGCGAAAGTCTTGGTAGAGCAATACGTCGATCGGACAATCACCGGATATTTCGCCCTTGCGTCTCATTTACACAAATTACCAGGGTTTCATTATGACTCTGATATCATGGTACCAATCAATCTCATGATTCTATACGCACCAGATGATGAGGAAGCACCCAATTGGCAACCGGACCCAACTACTACGCTGGGCCACGACGGAGCTCTTCGAACCGTCCTTGGAGTTGCGGAAGAGCTAGGAGATGCTCCGCTGCAAGTGACTTGCCTTCAACTACTCATTTATCAATCTCCTCAGCCAAAGCCTCTGCTAGATAAGCTAGGTGAATTGTGGCACTCAATTGGATCGCCAAAGGGCTATCTCGAAACACGCCTGTACTGTTACATACCATATTCTCTCACGACTCGCGAGCACCGCGCGTGCACCCGGCGAGATCTTATCCTCGCTGGTGAGGCTTTGAATGAAGGACCAGTGTCACACGCGCAAGCCAGGGTATTGAGAGCTCTCTCTCGAAATCAGCAGGAAAGGGACTCCTATGAAAGCAAAGCGGCGACAGCCCTCTACCGCTTGAACCTGCCGAAGTTTGCACCCTCTGGAAGCCCAACAATGTCGCAAGTCCTCCCTAACTTTGTCGCCACACCTCAATATGTCAATAGGCATTCTTTCAATGCGGCACATCGAATCAGAAATCATGCCGAGGCTGAGCCATTCGACGGAACACCACACAGCTTGTCGACTGCTGACTTTACGATGTCCAGGCACAATCCAAATCATGAAACAAAACGGACGACTCGGCCGAAGGAAGACATCGTGAAGAGCAACAAGCTGCCCCAAGAGAACTCATATTTGTCATCATCTATCATGCCATTATCAGGAAAGGAACCGAGATCTGGCAGTCAACCTAGCACACAGCCACAACCTGCCCCTGACCCTGTGCCTTCCATATTTGATAGGTCTATTGAAGAAAGGGAAAAGTTGGTTGCTGAACTGGTGGAAAGGATCAACAATTTGATATCCGAAGGAGCTGGCAAGAAAGCGGGAAGCAGTGGCGATAAGCATTCAAATCTTTCTGAGGCGAGGCCAACAAGTCAGAAGCCTGAAGACGAGCCAGTCAGGGAGCAGAGACAGAGATTGAGTGAGCGATTTAGCGCGTCAAGAATCGGAGACGGAGGCATAGAGGTAAAAGGGAAGCAAGTGGAAACAAGGCCCAAGACTCACCCTGATGGTTCAGCGTCGGCAGCAACACGAGATTGAGGAAGAAGAAAGTCAGAGTTTCACGAACTGAACTTACTCGGATCGTGAGACTGGGCGAAGTCATCGTAGCGGTGACCAGAACAGTGTACTCATAGTACAGGCTTCTATTCTTAAGGTAGACCATCTTACTCGCCACCAACGTACGGCATCTAGGAGAGAAATAATTCACTTGTATAGCTATCTACGAAGATATCTGAAGTCATAGCCAATCTCAGTCTTTAAGCGCCCTCGAATCAGTAGCGCTTCTATGATATATTTTGCCACCGCGCTCCAAAACCTCGGTGGATTGACTCGACTGATCGGACTCAGCTTTCGAGAACAGCTCCTTCCTTTCGCTAAGGGTATCTCGTAGCCAGAAGAGCTCGTACATGAGAATGAATCTGCTAACCATCGCTGATGCCATGTAGCGAGCCATGATCTTAAGACTATCCGTTGCGGAGATGAAAACAAGACTGGAGAACAACATACTTCCGTAAATAAGATGACATGTACCTAGCAGAGACGTGAAATATGACAAGACCATTGAACAATACGTTTCATCCTCATCAATGATTGCTTTAGTCCAATCCTTCTCATCTAGAGGTTTGAATTGTCGCGAAAGTACTTCCCCGATGTACCCACGTCGAGTACCCTCGGTGATCCGTGTTCGAGCCCACAAGCTAGCAGCTGCGGAGACGTGGGAACTGATACCGATAATACTCCAAAGGAACTCCAAATAAGTCAGCTGGGGGGCGAGCATACTGACAACCATCACGCCCAGCTGATTGCACAGTGTATACGTGTTGATGATGGCCGCAATCGCAGCAAGGAATTCGATAGCGAGACTAACCGTCCTAAGCGGTACAGATGATCTTTCAGTGCGTAAACGGTAGTGCCGGGGCTTGACCAACTTCATCGGGTTCATGTACTCGAACGATCGAATGGGATGGATGGCAGGTGATCCAGCAGCCACAAGTAGGGCGATGAGTGGTCTCTGTCCGATGACGCAGAGCGTCGAAGTCTCTTCTACGCTGTTTCCAACTGTAGCGAGGATTGTTGGCATGAGACCAAGGACGACTGCGGCAGCCGCCATGTTGCTCATGATGTACTCAGACGTGTTGCCCAGAATGCAGTTTGCTACGGGCTGAGCGAGCCTGTTCGTGTTGCCGCCTCCCGTAAACCAGTCGATGGTGGCATTCTCCCTCGGAATCGTCAAATATCTCTCATACTCGGCGGAGCAGTTGCCCTCCATGATAGCTTCGAAGGTAGGCCCGAACTCAGGGTACCAGCTTTTGAATTGGTCTTTGGCAACATACACTGCGAGGCATGGCCAGTTGAGAAGGGTAATAAATGCGAAGGAAAGAAAGAATCGAGGCATCTTCAATATCGAGAGAAGTTATGCAGCAATTACGATGGAGCCAGGTATTAGGAACTGTGGAATATCTGACTAGAACTTGTACAAATATGGCATGAAGCTGATAGCAACAGAAGAAATGCTTCGAAACTGGTGAAAGCTAGGACATACCGGGACTTTTACTTATCACATAAGATATTGCAGCCTTGGGCCTCCGAAGAGAAACCTAACAATACCAATGTTGGACAGGCGGAAAAATTCTGTTTGCAATAGCCTCTGGATGGATCATACAAAGAACGGAGGCCACAGAGCTGAACGAGAATGACATCCTTCGAGCCACCTTCTTTTCTACGAAGCACCCAGGAGGCGGGTTAGAAAGCGGTATTCTTCCGATAAGTAAGCAGCCACGGGAGGCAAGAACCCTCACACTTGAGAGTCAAGTGGTGTTCTCGTATCTATTCCTCCCAGTGGGCATGCTCATTTTACCATCATCCAGTGGTACCAAGACATGTACTCTGAGTTGCGAAGGCTACACAACTGAAGCCTCATCCAGCCCGACTAATTACTGGAGTGATTCGAACCGATAAAACTCATCGAGGGCGGTAGTAAGCCTCTGGAAGGGTGTGCGAGAGAGCGAGACTGGGATCAGGACTCTGCAGGTATTTATAGCAAAAAGTCCCAAGCTCAAAGGCTGGGTCGTTAGATATGTTGACCAAGTAATTATGTAAACGCAGAGTCGAAACTGACTCGTCCTGTATTCGGTGGAGTAAAATCGTAAGAGCTCATCTTGATTAAACATATGCATGTCAATTGGTATCGCAAGTGCATTTCTGCATAGAATTATGACGGAGGCCCTGTTGTCTAGCTTCCGTTGAGATTAAGTTATGCATTCCGAAGGGAGGGTTTTCGGGACCATTTGGGCAGATACATCTGTCTTAATCCAGCTGGGGCAAGCATCCACTCCACTTGCCGAGAGACCTTTACGGATTAACATCCAATGGATTACTCAGCTCGGTCTCGGTACGAACGGCTACCCTGCAACTTGCCGGATATCCATACTGTGGCTTCAGGCTCGCGCTTTTTAAGGAACCAGCCAGACACACTTAGATTTTTCACACATTCGCGACTTTCCAATAATCCCTCCGCAACCTTCACTTCGCCTTTCGCACAATTCGATAGAAGCCACCGGGATGTTCATGAAATTTCCATATTCAAGGCGTGCAATCTTTCAACAGAGACGATTTGACACCGACAACTTGTGAGAAACAGCGTGGTTAAAGGGCAGCTTTGAGCCACAGCCGTGCTCACACGTAGGCCTCGGAGAAGACGATCTAAGTCTCACGCCAACATCTACGGTGTCCAGCTTACTTTTCTCACCGTCTTCTCTTCGTTCCTACAAGATCATATCAAGCCGGAATGCCTTTTCCGTTGCCATCCATATCCTACCCACCCTCTAGGGACGGGTTTTGGAATCCTGTCACAGCAACCATCAACTGGTGCGAAGAGGTAGGCTTATTGCGCAATATACCAACAAGATCTATCAAAATTCTACCATCTGCTCGAACTTCACTGATTCTGACCTTTGTTTATAGGATTACTATGTCACACCATACGTGGCCGAGTTTGTCAACACTTTCACAAATGCGATATTCGTCTATCTGGCGTTAGTTGGAATTTCCAGCTGCATTAGAAATAAACATCCTCGAGTATTTCTGGTGGCATATGTTGGGTACATGACCATCGGTATCGCAAGCGTGGTCTACCATACCTCATTGAAGTGTTCGTTGCCTCTGAAATCCTTGACCATGCTGTGCTACAGTACTGACCCTCGAGCAAGACTGGATGCAGCTGTTTGATGAGCTGTCAATGATATACACCACATGCATCCTCTTCTATGCGGTATTTTCTCACGGAAAATCCTTGTTTGGCCAGGCTCTTCTGGGCACCTTCATCACTGGCTTGGCCATTTTCATCACAGTGTACTACCACTACCTCGGAGATCCCGTCTTTCATCAAGTCATGTTCGGAATACTCACAGCCACTGTTGTGTTTCGAAGCATGTACATCATGGAGAAGATACTCCGGCCCAAGTCTACACCTCAGAGCAAGGCTGCGCTTCTCGACACGCAACTCCTCAAGAAAATGTGGACATTGATCACTTGCGGTCTTGTTTCCATAGCCATTGGATTTCTGGCTTGGAACCTTGACAACATTTTCTGTTCGCATCTTCGACATTGGAGACGAGAACTCGGACTCCCCTGGGGCGTTCTCCTCGAGGGCCATGGATGGTGGTGAGTGTTAACTAACATCGGTGCCAGGAAGAAGCTAACAGCCGGCTTAGGCACTTATTCACCGGTATTGCATGCTATATAAACGTGACTTACGGCGTCTGGCTACGCTATTGCAGAGACGGCAAGAAGGAAGAAGTCGTCTTGGCGTGGCCTTCGATGTTCGGTTCCATTCCCACTGTTGAGCGAGCGCAACATGGAGGACATCCGTCGAAGCCCGGATCTAAAACGGAGTGACCTTCTGTGCAACAACCTTTGGGACGAGGCTATCCAATACCAAGAACTGTGCCGGATAAGCGGAACCGAGATGGCGGCGATGGCTTTGATTGTGTGTAACAGTGTGAATTCTGCCCACGGTCTGGCTCTAGAGAAAGGGGGGCCGATAAGTGCCAGTGAGGATGTGTAGGACAGCGAAGCGGCTGAGGAATATTGTCTGCTGTGACACCGCTTGGCTGTCAAATAGCAGACATGTAAGATAGGACTGTGCAATGACATTTTCCTGCCAAGTCAATAGGGGGCGAAGGACGAGAAGAGGAAGCCACTCAAAACACACCAAGGCTTGGTCGCTACATGAATGTTTAGGTGGGTGTGAGAAGCAGGCTACCAATCATGTTCTGTACTGGGATACCGGTGTGAGGTGGATGCGACCGCATCCAGTAGACAATTCCAACAAAGGAATACACTTCGTTTCTCGTCGCGAAGCATTGGTCTCGTTTCACGCAACTACACATTTGACCATTGACTTGACCCCCCTTCTCTTCTTTTCTTTCAAAAGTACGTATTTACCCTAACAGATATCCGCGCTTTACTTCAACAAAGGCCAGAAATGAACAGAGCTTGAACACATGTCTGTCACTGAGATGAGCAATCCTTACCAATAAGCTGCGGCGCCGACCCGCGCATCAGCTCTGCCAAGTGTTGTACAGACTCGAACCAACTGTCCAACACCCCTGCGCTTGACTCCCTGAACCAATCAGTTACCGTCCGGTAGAATGCAGCTGAGCATTGTTCACAGTGCTTCAATATGCGCTTCTAAAGACGGAGGGAGGGCGGTATTGACCCTTTCGCTTTTCAGGGATTCCTAATCAATATCTTTACGCGTGCGGTTACACAGCATCAGGCTGTCAAATCAGTGAGCTGCCTCTACGGGCCGAAGAATCTTAGGAAAACTCGACCATCTGGTCTTTGTTTTCTCTCAGACGGAAAGGAGTGCCTCGTTCCTGGATTTGAAAAGTTTCCTCTGCAGTCTCTCATTCTCTGCAACGGTACCGTTGAGCGACGACCGAGTGTTTCACGCCGTCAGTACACACCCGAAAATTCTTTCCACATCCAAGGTCGACTTGGAAGTTCTGTGCGGCCAGCGCTCCAAGGCGCATAAGGTCTGCCGTAGGCATGGCACGCCCATGGCCTTTTACATGTCCCTGGCGGAGTATCTTGGCTTTACTATCAAACGTTTCTCTTTCCATTGCATTATCCATCCCAGAAGATGCCAATGAGTACGGCTCCTCATTCACATATCGCGATGTCGGAAGAGTAGTACCAGACTTCGTGATTAACCACGGTAAGAGAACATCTCCACTACCCTCACTTGTCTCGAAAGATTCCCAGAGATTGCACCTGGCAAAATAAGGTATCATGCCGATACTGACCTACTATCATACTAGCGCCACTGATATGGCTACACTCAGACGACCCATTCCGCCCGGCAGATATACTCGAACATGTCCGCCATACCACGCCGATGGTGCACATGGAGCCCATCAGAGGACTGCCACAACTCGATCTCGATAATTTGGCTATGCTAAACGACTACTGGAACAACGGCCCAGTTTCGCTAACTGCCAACGGCGACATCACCAGTCTTCCTACCTGGCTCTTTGGAGAGACGCCAGATGAGACGGGCAAACTCCACAATGCCACCTCTTGCGTTGTGATCACCGTCGATAAAGGCTCAGGAGATCTAGATGCCTTTTACTTCTACTTCTACTCGTACGATCAAGGGGCAAACATCACTCAGGTTCTACCACCTATGAGTGGGTTGATAGAAGACACTGAGCATGGCATGCACTTTGGCGATCATGTTGGTGATTGGTCAGCTCCATGTTCAGATTCGTACCCACGAGATTGTATTCACTGACCTTTGTTTGGACAGGGAGCACAATATGATTCGGTTCCACGACGGGAAACCTACCGGTGTCTATTACAGTCAACACTCTTCGGGCTCTGCCTACAAGTGGGATGATAAGGACCTATCAGTGGAAGATGGTCGGGTACGAACTTCCTCCGATCTTTTGGTCAAACTCAACCACGCAGCTAATGTTGTCTTAGCCTATAGTTTACAGCGCATGGGGTTCTCACGCGAATTGGGCATCTCCTGGGTGAGTAATACGCCATACTGTCCCATCTATCGACATTGTGTAATGACAGCATCCGATCAGCGATCACGTTCACGACTCGGTTTTGTTAGACTACTGTGACGCAGGTCAAATCTGGGATCCTGTATCTTCGGCATATTACTATAAATTCGATCCCGAAACGTCACTCTTAACGAGCATATTTCCACCCGGGGCGGAAGCCTCTATCAATCTTACATCCTTCTTGTACTATTCCGGCATATGGGGAGACTTCCAATACCCCGACGACCATCCACGTCAGAAGATCGTACCCTACTTTGGTCTGAAGCGTTACGTCTCCGGCCCGACGGGTCCGACTACGAAGCAGCTTGTAAGGAAGGGACTCTTTCCAGACCATCCTGAAAGAAAGAATCTTTTGCAGTGGGGAGTTGGCATATACATGTCGCTGTATCCATGCTGTTTTAGGGGATGGAGAGCCTGGGTTTCTGGCATCGCCTTCATTGGGTTGTTGGTGTGCATTGTCCTTGGGATCAAACGCTCTTTGAAGTGGGCTAGGGCCCGAAAAGAGGGATATAAGAAGATCGGCAACGAGGAAAGCATTCCGTTGCGGGAACTGGACTATTTAGATGACAGAGCTTCGAATCACCGGGATTGAGGGAAAGGTTTTAGAGCGTCTTCGATGTAAAACAAATCTCTGAGGACATGCTGACGAAATCAGGCGAAAGTAGTACTCGGCTCCGAGGTCGTATAGCCTTAGTATTTTGTAACATAATTAGATCGAGTCTGTAGTACATGTGGGCATAAAATAGAGCTGCGCCTTTTGGTCTCTATCATTAGATCTTGGGTTCCTCGAGTTCTGATACCCTCTTGCGCCCCTAGGCTTTTTCATGCTAGCTTCGGCATTCTCTTGCGACCCAGCGAATTATGCTGATGTCGCCTGCTGATGTACAACGGGAAATGCTGAGAAAGAAATCCTGGATTTGAAGGTGGGAAGTCTTGCAACATGAAGTTTGGGAAGCCTATATCTTCGATATCGGGTCTCGGTTTGAGGATCAAGACTCTGTTCGGTCTTTTGGGCCTTGGAAACGTGCAAGATTGTCCACTGCCGCCTAAGCATACGGGACGGGTCCGTAGGTGAGTAAAGTAGACACATACTTCAAGCATCCATTGGCTTTCGCGCAGAAGTTCATGAGCCTGTAGGCAGCATCGCCTCGTCGACGAGCCACGATGCCAAGCATGCGGTGTTGAAGCTTAACAGCCCGGGACTCATCACCACAGTCAAGGCTCACGTCTTTGAAGACCATTTCATTTGATCTGAAACGTTCACTCCGGACATCTTGGACAATCTTCTCCCCAACGCTCATGGTCCAAGCTAGCATACTAAGGCACTGTGGCGCTCGACTAAGACCGTACGCAGTTAGTGAGAAGGTCCAGCCCGTCTAGGCGGTGCGCCTAAACTTGTGTTGAGGCTGCAAGACACTGTCAGCGTCTAGCCCACGTCGGGATAAGCGCCAATCCCGCCCCAAGGGATTGAGCTACCGGCTCCCAAGGGGGGGAATCCGAGGAAGGAGAGGAGAAGAATGAATACAATCACAGAGCCTCCCTTTCACTTCAACTCGTAATGATCTCATAGTCTGTGCACTCAAACAACAAACAACATCCCATCGGCGAGCGAACACGACTCGAGCAGAGCTTCCCCGGAATATCAAACTCGAAGAGTCGACCCTATTGTATACTAGTCTACAGTCCAGTACGGAGGCAAGATGTCCGTATCAGCTTATCTCGCAGCCTTCGGCAAGGCGTCGCCAGCGACGTACGCCCTCGGCAGCGGACTCCTCGTCACATCATCACTCTTCTTTGGAAACATCGGGCTGTCTCTCACTGGGCCTCTTCCTATCATCAGAGATCAACTTGGCGCGTGCACTCTGAGTTCAAAGCAGAAGATCAAAGTATGGAGACTCTTCTTCGACGAAGCCTCTGTGAGTGAGACCCTTCCTCATCATCAGCGAGATGAATATTCGCCGTCAAAAGAGGAGTGATGAGTACTGACGCCGTGCACCAGAGATACATCATCGGCGGCACCGGCGTGACAGCGACGCTTCACCTGGCCGCCTTCGCGCTGAGCGAATCGCCCGTATCCCGCAGGCTCGCCGTCATGTCGGCGCTCTGCAGCATCTGCATCCTGCCGTACACGCTCGTCGTCATCATGCCCACCAACAACAGCCTCATCGCCCTGGATGACAAGGTGGCTCTATCGGAGCTGGACAGGAAAAAGGTCGGGTGGCTGATTGAGAAGTGGGATCGGCTGCACAAGATCCGCTTCTTGATGTACGGATGTGCGTGGGCTTTGAGTCTTGCCGCGTTTACGTCTTCTTTGTGAGCTGGACTTTTGGAGGAGTGACGAGATGCTAAGGATAATTACCTGGTTGATCGTTGCGTTTCTTCTGTCTTCGTTGTTTCCGGATGGGTTATAGGGTTGATAATTGGCGATGGCTCAGCCTAATGTTCTAGATGTAATGTTAAATTGGATATGAGTAAACACAATGAACCTGGTAATTACAGACTGACCAGGGCGCGCCATATCGCCCGCAAGACCAGAATGAGGCTAAAGTATCGGCTATGACTTGCAAAGACGGAAAAGTGTGACAAGGAACCCTGACGACTGCTGTTGACATGGTCAACTATATGAGTTCATGACAAATTCGTAGTCCAATCGTGGTTACTTAAGCTTGATAATAAGCAAGAACCCGTAGCCTATCAAGTACGAGGTGCATGTGATGAAACCTCAAGGTCTCATGGCAAGAAAGCTTCCAAGGATTATAGACCCGATGTGACCTGGAACACGTGCTTCGTCTCTCACGAAGTTTTGGGGGAAAGAAACTTTGCTCCAGCTTCTGGAGAGAACCCGAGTCCCGGACTCCGTGGAAAGTTTGGCGGCAACTGCACATGACCACTTTATGAGCCGATCACTGCTGGCCGAAGATACCATGTAGATCCGACAATTGTTTCCCCGGCATGTTGTGCCGTGATCTATATCCCAGTAATCTGCCATTTGCCAATCAGATTTGAAGAAGTTCTTGATCAGAAGTATGCACCAATCATTAGCATCGTTATCCTAGTATCATGTATTCGTGTCCTGGTAGCTGTTGTGACTTAGGACTCGCCGGCCAGCAGGCTTTTGGCAACAATTGGGAGTGTGTACATTTGATGGCTATTATTCGAGACTAAGATTAAGTATTCAACGTTGGACTGCAAGAATTATTCACGTACAGAGACGGGATGAGATAGCTGTTGACTGAAAAGAAATCTTTTCTTCTGTTTGACGACCCCGATGCCATCATCCCCCTCCAATCCCGGAAGATGTGAGTCTATGTGGCCAATCCATGCGCCGCTGCCCAACCAAACTCCAAATAGACTTTACTGAATCATTTCCAGAAGCAGATAGGCCCAGCGCTTATTGAAGCAGGCTCTACCTTCCCCCCTCTCGTCTCAACTCTACGGCAATTCAGGGATCCTAGTGCCGAACATGCGGTTACCCGACATCATGTCGGATAATCCCGTTGCTGTGGTCCCAAATAATGGCCCCCCAAACTCTGTCATGGAAGTGTCATAGAACCGAAGGGGGAGAGTTCAGCCGTTGAAACGGTCCTGTTATCAGGTCTCTAAGCCATCCGAGTGCCATCGCAGTCGATGATTGAAATATGAAAGAAAACGTCAAGAATTCTACATGGCCAAAATCGCCACCGTGAACGTCGCGATGAGAACCGCGAGTCTGAGTCCAGCACCGGAGATACTCTCAGCTGCGGCACTCTTGCCAGCACCAGGCAAGCCGGTGTTGTTCTGGCTCTGTCTGAACAGGGGATCCATCGTAGCATTCTTCGTGACAGGCACCTGAGAGCCCGCAACGCAGAATTGCGTGGGGTTGCTCCATGTGGCGTCGACGACGCGCTTCCACGCGTTATCAGGCTTGAAGAGCATCTCGCGGCTGTAGAAGATGCGGCAGTTGGCCGGCTCCCAGAGGAATTGCAGCGGCGTCCTGGCGTCGGACATACTGTAGGCGTTCTTTGCGTTGATGGCACCGGCGCTCTTGGGCGTGGTCGCGCGCTTGATGGCGTAGCCCTTCGCCAGCTCCCCGAGCTCGCCGTTCATGATTTCTTCCTTCTTGTCCTTGGGGGTGAGGGCGATGATGGCCTTGGCGTCGGTGGTCATGTCGTTGAAGGCGAAGACCTGGGCGCCTTCGACACCAGCGATGGACTGCATGATACCTGATTGGGGACGGCCGCCGATGACGGTTGTCTTGATGCCCATTTGGAGGATCATCAGATAGGAGAAGATCGTGCAGGTTGAGCCGCAGGTACCATCAGTGAAGAGGACCACGTTCTCAGGGTCGAAGACGCGAGGGGGCGGGTTAGCTTTGCTGCCGACGCCGGTGAGGTTGAAGGTGGGGTCGGTCTGGTTGAGTGGTGCCTGCTGGTATGCAGTGAAGGTGTCACCGTTGAGCGAGACCGGTGCCAAGATCTGGTCAACGGTCGTGAAGGCGGCTTCATCGGGCGTGTAGACGCCTCCAGGGAGCAGGTTGCTGACGATGGAGCTGCCACCTAGAGCCTCAAGGGCATCCTTTTCCTCGGGTGTGGTAGGCGTGAAGTTGGCAGGAATGGCAGCGGAGAGACGAGCAAGAGTAGTGAGACCTTCGGACAGACGCAAGTTGTTGGCCTGGAAGCGATTGACCTCGGGGAACAGCTATCATGAAGGTTAGCGAGGGAAAAGTGACAGGGGGACAGGGGGACAAACCTGAGCGAAGAGCTCGTACCCAGCAACGACGAAACCACCGCCGTTGGCAGCGACATCAATAACGAGACGCTTCTTCCCGGCGTCCTTGCTCTTCTTCAAGAACGTGGCGACGGTGCTCTGGAAGTTGGTCAAGTACTCAGTAGCGTCAATGGAGTCGGGAGGAGCGAAAGACGAAACAGCGAGCACGGCAACATCATCATATCCCGTCCCATTGAGGAAGTAACCGGATGTGGTGTTGGCACCGCTATCACGGACAATCGGGAAGGGGTATCCCTCGATTGTCGGCTTAGGAGGGGGCGGCGGGCCTGAAGTCTTTGGCGGGGTCGGCGTCGTTTGGTTAGGCTTCATGCCAGGCTGCGACGGCTGGGGCTTGGCGGGCGAATCGGGGTTGCAGAACTTGTTGTAGTAGTCCTCGCCGCTGTTGACGCCAGTGAAGTTTGCGCCGGTGCGGATGAGAGCGAAGCTGTCCTCGGAGCGCTCCTCGCCGTTGTCGTAGGTGATTGTCACCTTGGGGCCCTGGAAAGCGAGGGAGGCGGCGACGACGATGAAGCTCTCCTTCGACGCGTACGACTTGAAGTTGGCGTTCCATTGAGAGTCGGGGTCCTGGTAACCGCTGAACTTCAGGTTCAGGTCTGCAATCATGGTGGCAGCATCTCTGCCGTTGATCCTGACGATGGCGGGGGCGGTGGAGTTGCCATCAAGCTGGGCTATTGTGGAAAATCAGTGCTTGATCACAATCATATTGATCGAAGGGCTAGCGTTGGGACTTACCAAGATGGTACAGCTTAGGCACTTCAATACCATCGCGCGAGACCGACACAATATCGGCAGCGAGGTTGTTGCGGAAGCTGAAGCCCTTGAACA